TCAGACTTCCTTTCATTAAAAATTGAAATAAGTGCTTATGGTTTTCTGTTCATTATTTCATGGCACTGGTTTGTGCTGCTGTGTGATATAGAACACACTTATCTAAACCATCTTCAAGGTCTATGTGTTTTTTCAGACCTAGCAATGATTAGACGATTGCAGATTTTTTACAATCTTCATGTGGATTTTTCAATGACTATTTTTTTAAATGAATTAGAAACACTGTTATTTAAGCGTAACATATTTTTAATATGTGTGGCAATGGGAGAGAGAGTATATTAGTTATGCTGTCAGGGTCAGCTGTTGACCTCAGACAGCATATTCCCTAACACACTTGTGCAAGCCAGTCTGGCTGAAGCTAAGATGCCTTGGCCATTACTTCTAACTCAGCGTGTGCTAAGATAGCAGGTGTTTATCAGGAAGTGGCATTTTAAGTACTTTCTATCCTACCAGGACAATTTGCCTCTCATAGATTTCATGTACTTTGGAAATCTTTTGCATATTGGGGTTAATGTGTAACACACAGCTATTTTTACGTCCAGTGAAACAGGAGATACACAACCAGTTCGTTTTCTAGTGTCTGATTTTAGGAGTTTTATTACAGACTTCCAGTGGGAAATGCCTGGGCTCTCTTTATTAATTCAGATGTGACTCAAAAAACAGGATTTGGTATTTATAGTCCTTAATTTATATTCTGCCCTGTGCTTTGTGTGTGGTTTAAAAAAATTATGAATTTGAGCTTTAGTGTTAGCCTGTATTAGATGAGAGAAATATTCACCCTTTATAGTTATTTTATAGTTTTATAAAAAATACATAAAGTACTTTAGTGCCTTTTGTATAGTAACCAGTGTATTAGTGAAGATCATTATGATTCTTGATAGCATATGACAATTAATGATATACAAGTTAGAATAGTCTTTATTGCCTTCTAATTGTTGAATGCTTTCCATTATTTTATTTATTTATTCATTTTGGACTACAGTTCTGAAATAACATATTTAAGTTCCCCCAAGATATGTTACATTATTCTTCTTTAGAGACTCTGAATCAGCAGGGGTATTCCCTGTCATGACTGGTAAATTTTGATCTTAGAATCTGCATTCATTATATAATGACATTTCAGTTTCTCATAGATATTTAGCAATTTCACATACCTGATGAAAAATATGTTTACATGGACTATAATTTTTTGTTAAATTCATGTCAGAATTATTAGTCATTGATTTCTTTTTGTTGTTGTTTGTTTTGTTTTGTTTTTTTGAGATAGTTTCTCTGTGTAGCAGTCCTAACTGTTCTGAAGCTAGCTCTTGTAGACGAAGATGACCTCAAACTCACAGAGATCTGCCTGCCTCTGCCTCCTGAGTGCTGGGATTGAAGGCAAGTTCCACCACTGCCTGGCCAAAAACGTAATTCAGGCTGACCTCCAACTCAGGTCCTCCTGCCTCTGCCTCTTTAGCATATCCTACCGGCCTGTGCCACCACAACAGGCTAGTTTCATTTTTAATAAATACCTGTATTATAAGGAGTTTTCGTTTGTGTGACTCTTTTCATGTGCTTCAGCTAGGGTGAGTTGCTGGCTGGGAAAGCAGGCGCAGCTGCCACTGTATGCTATAAATGATGATTTTGGAATCCAGCGAGGATTTAACAGCCTTTCATATTTCCAAGGCAATGTTGTGGTTTCTACTGAGGGTTTTACATGATTGAACTAAATTCTTCTTTGTTCAGCAATTACTGAACACATTTTTATATTTATCAGTAAATATTTGAGATGCAAAGACCAAGATGACAAATTCCTTGCCTTGATAGATATTTAACTTGGCTGAAGAGGGGCAAAAGTTCACTTAAATGATCACTAGTGAGGTGCAAAATGCTGTTTTCAAAGTTCATTAGAAGCCCAAGTCCCAAGGGACTTTGAACCAGGACCAACACAGCAGTCAACTTTGCGTCAATAAAACTTCTGGAAACTCTTTTTTTAAAAAAAAAAAAATTTAATTGACTTTACTGAGATATACATTTTTCTCTACTCTTCTCATATCCTCCCCCCTTCCCTTCAACCCTGTCTCATGGTCCCCATGCTGCCAGTTAACTCAGGAAATTTTGACATTTTATACTTCCCTTCCATATTAGATTCATGAATGTCTCTCTTAGGGTCTTTATTGTTGTCTAAGTTCTCTGGGTTTGTGGTTTGTAGGCTGATTTTCTTTGCTTTATGTCTAAAAGCCACTTATGAGTGAGTACATATGATAATTGTCTTTCTGGGTCTGAGTTACCTCACTCAATATGATGCTTTCTAGCTTCATCTATTTGCCTGAAAAATCCAAGATGTCATATTTTTTTTTCTGCTGTGCACTACTCCATTGTGTAAATATACCACATTTTCCTTATCCATTCTTTGGTCTAGGGCCATTTAGGTTGTTTCCAGGTTCTGGCTATGACAAACAATGCTGCTATGATCATAGTTGAGCACAAGTCCTTGTGACACAGTTGAACATCCTTTGGATATATACCCCAAAGTTCTATTACTGGGTCTTGAGGAAGGTTGTTTCCTAACTTTCTGAGAAACAACCATACTGATGATATCCAAAAGGGCTATACCAGCTTGCATTCCCACCAGCAATGTGTGAGTATTCCCTTTTCCCCACAATCTCTCCAGTATAAGTTGTCATCAGTGCTTTTGATCTTGGCCATTCTTACCAATGTAAGATGTAAGGTGTAAGATGGAATCTCAGAGTTGTTTTTATTTGCATTTCTCTGATGGCTAAGGATATTGAGCATTTTCTTAAGTGTCTTTCAGCCATTTTAAATTCCTCTCTTGAGAGGAATCTCTGTTTAGGTCTGTACCCCATTTTTTATTGGATTATTGGTTCTTTTGATGACCAATTTCTTGAGTTCTTTGTATATTTTGGAGATCAGCCCTCTGTCTGATGTGGGGTTGGTGAAGATTTTTTCCAATTCTGTAAGCTGCCATTTTGTCTTGTTGACCATGTCCTTTGCTTTATAGAAGCTTTTCAGTTTCAAGAGGTCCCATTTACTAATTGTTTCTCTCAGTGTCTGTGCTACTGGGGTTATATTTAGAAAGTAGTCTCCTGTGCCAAGGCGTTCAAATGTACTTCCCACTATCTTTTCTATGAGGCTCAGTGTGGCTGGCTTTATGTTGAGGTCTTTGGTCCATTTGGACTTGAGGTTTTTTTTTGCATGGCTATAGATATAGATATATTTTTATTGTCTACATGTTCATATCCAGTTATGCTAGCACCATTTGTTTAATATGCTTTCTTTTTTCCATTTAATATTTTTTGCTTCTTTGTCAAAAATCAGGTGTTTGTAGGTATGTGGGTTAATATCTGAGTCTTCAATCGATTCTATTGGTCCTGTTTTATGCCAATACTAGTCTATTTTCATTACTGTAGCCCTGTAGTAGAGTCTGAAGTCAGGGATTGTAATGCCTCCAGAAGTTCATTTACTGTACAGGATTGTCTTGGGTATCCTGGGTTTTTTGCATTTCCATATGAAGTTCTTTCGAGGTCTGTGAAGAATTTTGCTGAGATTTTGATGGGCATTGCATTGAATTTGTAGATTGCTTTTGGTTAGATTGCTATGTTTACTATGTTAGTTCTACCTACCAAAAGGCATGGGAGATCTCTCCACTTTCTGGTGTTTTCTTTAATTTCTTTCTTCAAAGATTTAAAGTTCTTGTCATACAGATCTTCCACTTGTTTGGTTAGAGTTACTCCGAGATATCTTATGTTATTTGTTGTTTTTGTGAAGGGTGATGTTTCTCTGATTTCTTTCTCAGCCCATTTATCATCTGTGTATAGGAGGGCTACTGATTTTTTTGAGTTAATCTTGTATCCTACTACATTACTGAAAGTGTTTAGGAGTTGTAGAAGTTCCTTGGTAGAATTTTTGGGGGTTGCTTATGTAAACTATTATATCATCAGCAAATACAGTTTGACTTCTCCTTTTCTGATTTGTATTCCCTTGAGTTCTTTTTAGTGTCTTATCACTCTAGCTAGGACCTCAAGAACTATATTGAATAGATATGGAGAGAGTGAACAACCTTGTTTTATTCCTAATTTCAATGGGATCAATTTGAATTTCTCTCCATTTAGTTTGATGCTAGCTGTTGGCTTGTTGTATATTGCTTTCAATGTTCCTTGTATCCGTACTCACTCCAAGTCCTTTATCATGAAAGGATGTTTTATTTTGTTGAAAGTTTTTTAGCATCTAATAAGATGATTATGCGGTTTTTATTTTTCAGTTTGTTTATATGGTCGATTACGTTGACAGATTTTCATATGTTGAACCATTCCTACATCTCTGGGATAAAGCCAACTTGATCATGGTGGATGATGGTTGTGATGTGTTCTTGGATTCGATTTGCCAGTATTTTGTTGAGTATTTTTGCATCAAAGTTCATGAGTAAGATTGGTCGGTAATTCTCTTTCTTGGTAATGTCTTTCTGTGGCTTGGGTATTAGGGTAATTGTAGCCTCATAAAAAGAGTTTGACAATGTTCCTCTTGCTTCTATTGTGTGTAACACGTTGAGGAATATTGGTATTATTCTTCTTTGAAAATCTTGTCGAATCTTGAGCTGATTCTGGGTTTTTTTTGTTTTTTGTTTTTATTTATTTATTTTTTTTGGTTGGGAGACTTTTGATGACTATTTCTATTTGTTTAGCAGTTATAAGTTTATTCAATTTGCTTAGCTGGTCTTGATTTAATTTGGTAAGCAATATTTATTCAGAAAATTGTCCATTTCCTTAAGTTTTCCAATTTTGTGGAATACAGGTTTTTGAAATCTAATGATTTTCTGGATTTCCCTCCATGTCTGTTGTTATGTTTCCCTTTTCATTTTTGATTTTATTAATTTTGTTATTTTCTCTCTGCCTTTTGGTTAGTTTGGATAAAGTTTATATATTTTGTTGATTTTCTCAAAGAAATTTTTCTTTCATTGATTCTTTGTATTGTTTTCTTTGTTTCTATTTTGTTGATTTCAGCTCTCAATTTGGTTGTTTCCGGCCATCTAGTTCTCTTGGGTGAGTTTTCATCTTTTTATTCTAAAGTTTTCAAATATTCTGTTAATTCACTAGTGTGGGATTTTTTTCTATCTTCTTTATGTAGGCATTTAGTGCTATGAACTTTCCTCTTAACACTTCTTTCATTGTGTTCCATAAATTTGGGTATATTGTGTGATTATTTTCATTGAATTTTATGAAGTCTTTAACTTATTCCTTTATTTTTTCCTTGATGTATTGATGCATCAGGTGAGCATTGTTTAATTTCCATATGTTTGTGGGCTTTCTGGAATTAGTGTTGCTGTTGAAATCTAATTTTAAGACATGGTGATCTGATAAGATACATGGGGTTATTCCAATTTTGTTGAGGTTTGTTATGTTACTAGTATGTTGTCAATTTTTCAGAAGGTTCCATGAGGTGTTGAGAAGAAGGTATATTCTTTTATGTTTGGATGGAATGCTCTATAGATGTCTGTTAAGTCCATTTGAGTCATAGCATCTGTTAGTTCCCTTATTTCTCTGTTAATATTTTATCTGACATATCTTTCCAGTGGTGAGAATGGAGTGTTTAAGCCACCCACTATTATTGTGTAGTGTTTAGTGTATGATTTAAGCTTTAGAAGTGTTTCTTTTACACATGAGGGTGCCCTTGTATTCGGGAAATAGATGAAAACTCCTGAAAAACCTTAAGGTATGTGAGGGAAAACTAAAGTGCCTGAAATATTTTAGAATATGAATTGTAAAACACTGTCTTTTTGTTCTTTGAGTGCTTAGGGACTATAACAAGTACATTTTATAATGCTTTAAAATCTATAATGGCAAAATAATTAGGAAACATAATATGAGTTATTCTTAATGGAAATGCTTATATATCCATTAAGTTTAGAAAACAGAAAACATAGCTCTGGGTCTAAACTCATTCTACTTATATTTAGGTGGGGATTCAATTTGAGGAGTAATAATAATAATAATGATGATGATGATGATGATGCTGATGGTAATTATGCCAACAATAGCATTTGATGTATTATCTTCATCTTTGCCCCATACTGCTATAAGAAGATCATTTATAAGATGATTACTTTTCTTGCACTCATCTGTTCCTGAAATACTCGAGTGCATGTATTTTCTACTTCTTGCAATTAATGCAGAAAACGAGTGGTTTCTGATTTTACGTACATTATTTTCATCAGTAGGATCCCCCCTTACATTTTCACAATATGTTAGGAAACTATCTGACTTTAAATGATATAAAAATTATTTACTAAATTTAAAAACTTAATTTTGCTAATAACTTTCTCAATTCTACATTTTTCATATAAACTTATATTTCAGTTTTGGAAAAATGATCAATAATGGCACAGTTCATAAAGTTGTGACTCTAACTAATTTGTCGGCCAGTCTTTAGTTTTCTAATGCTCATACTACCTCTCTTCCCTCCCTTCCTCTCCCCCCACCTTCTCTCCTCTTGCTATCCCTCCCCTTTCTCTCTTTCTTTCTCTTAAAATGGTCCTGATTATTGAACCCAGTGATATTTATCTTGCTCTGAGCTGCCCACATAATATTTAACAAATATTTTTAATTAAAAAATATTTTTCTAAGAAAAATATTTTATTATGCATTTTGATTCTTTAGCCTTTTTTATAAATAAAGTGTTTTAATGTGGTTAATGATTTTATTATCTGACTTTTAAAGTTAAGAAGATGTTATGAATATCTTTAAATGTTACCTCTATTTACCATGTGAATTAGTGGTGGCATTTTAGTAGCATATGGTGGAAGAAATTGAAAAATTTATCTAATTGCTTATTGTTGAGCATTTCTCACATCTTTCCTTCACTCTTGTAAGATATGAAGAAATATTCACAGAAAAAAACAATGAGTGTGCTATTTATGTATTATGCAAGCTTTGTTTCACCTTATAACTCTCAGGTCACAGCCCACCATCAAAGGACATCAAGGCAGGAACCAGGAGGCAGGAGGAAGAAACTATGGAGGAAGATGCTTACTGGTTTTCTCTTCATAAGCTTTCTCAGTATGTTTTTAAACAACTTGGGGCCAAATGACCTTATAAATTAAATAAATTTGATATTATTTTATTTAACTAATGATATTATTTTATTTAATAATAGCTTTTCTTTCTGAAATCATTGATGCTATAAGGTTCTCAGGTAACTCTAAAAGTAGTTCTATAGATTCATGCCAAGCCTTTTGTAAATCTCATCTTTTGTAACGTCAAGTATGATATAGAACTACACCCATTACTTTCAATAACACAGAAACATACTTAGAAGATTTAATGCTTGGGATCAATGGCGTCAACACATTTCTCTAAATAATTAAAATTGTGATGTGATTGATTACTCTAATAATTGGGCTGAGTAGATCCCTCTTGGGTGAGACTGCCTTGGTGACTGATGGAAGAGAATTTAGAGGCAAAGCAAAACAACAAAGTTCCTGCTGATGTGACTCAAGCCAAACCCATGCAGATCCCAACACAGTTCATATAACTTTAGTTTCATGCTTTCATTCCATTAGGTAAAGGTATTTACATATAATTTTGGTCTTTATACAAACACGATGACAGGTGATGTTAGCTTACAGAGAATCATGAATAGGTTCAGTTTCTAAAACAGAGAAAGGGAAAATAGCAACCGAGGTTAAGATCCAGGCAGACAGAATATTTCACCACCAAAAAATGAGTATTTTATCTGCTATCATTTCTTATCTTTATATGCTACTATGGGATTCCACAATGGAATCAAAGGCTGGGTGATTTATACAGACAGTGATTTTCACAGTGCTGATGATCCATAACCAGCACGCCCACACTTTTGGGTTGGGATGAAGGTTTTTCCTGTATTGTAGACTGCTGTTTTTCTGTGCCCTTTTCAGTGGAAAGAGCAAGGGGAGAGCTTTGGTCTCTGCATAGACTGCTTATTCTATAAAGGGGACTTCAACTGTGTAACCAATTTACCCCTCAAGATCTCACCTCCCAAAACTCTCACACTGGGGATGAGTATTTCAGCCTACATGTTTTGAAGGGAACATAAACATTCGATCCATTGCAATAAATTGTAATATGTTGCACACTGAATGTACACCGACCACTGACATTGATCCTTTCAGTTTCAGTTTCAATCAAACTTTTCCAAATTCCAAAATAACAAGACACATTCAATAATTTCAGCAATAACCTCTAAACGTCTTTTGCTTGAGTCGACCTTTAATATAGATTTATTTCCTAGTCTATGTGGATTTATGTTCTTTTTATTTTTAAAACGAGTCCCTTTTCTGGATCCCAATAGTGATTTGTTATGAATGAGTAGTAGAGGTTCCTGTTTCTGTAATTTCTCATTTGATTCTACACACTTTATAATTTCTACATCCAAATATAAAATTGTGTATTATATTAAAAACCCAGGGAAAGAAACTAAGTCATGTGTTGCCACCCTTGCTAATGGTGGGTAGTACAGGTTAGGGGATGGTGCCCCACAGTCCCTATGTCACACATGATCACAAGACAGGTGAGAGGCCAGTGCCCCACAGTCCCTATGTCACACATGATCACAGGACAGGTGAGAGGCCGGTGCCCCACAGTCCCTATGTCACAGGTACTGACATAAAAACTTAGAGAGGTGAGTCTGTGTGAGGCATGGCACGTGAAAAGTAAGTCTTCGTGGAGTATAGCTCTACACTAGACATGTATTGATGCCGCTGCTGCTCTTCTTCACTGAGAGCAGCATGTGACTAGCTCAATCAATATTCAATGTACAAATTCACTTTCACTTTTTATTTTGTCTTTTTTGAGATAAGAGTTTAATATGTAGTCCAGTCTGAAGTACCAGGGATTAACACAATTTACAGCTTGCTGAGATTTTTTTTATATAAAAATTTGGAGCAACTCATTCATTATTTCATTCAGCATCTCTTTTTGAAAGCATAGCCCATTCTGGTGGTATTGTGCTTTGTGAAGATGATGGGTTTGCAAAAGCATTTAGTGCTTCTACTTCACCTGTTCTGGTTTGGCTGGTGGAGCTTTCTTTAGCTGTTCTCTTTAAACTTGGGTTCTACCTCATTTCTACCAATTTTTATCCTCTGCACCTGAAAAATGATTTTTACTTAGTCCGCTGGTCTGCTCGCAGATGCCATTTGTTCTAGAACACAGAAATTTCTTTGTCCTTGCTCAGCCGTTACTGAGAGAAAAACTCCCAAATAGCACCATTTCAAAGACAACCTTATGATGAACCACATTAAGTGATTTTCCATTCTCAGTGAGATCAGTTGCTGGTCTGCCAGACAATAAGCTCAGTTGTTCTTATAAACCAAAGAGAACTATGGTGCTTTTGTATTAGCTCTTGCAGTCCTTTGTATATCCTCGGCTGATATTTTTTCATGTTTGACTAAAATATATTTTATTCTACAAATGTATTTTATTCTTATTCTAATTTTTCAAAGACAATTTATTTTTAATATTTTTCAAAATGTTTTCTGATGCCATATGATTAGTAACTGCATTATTGATACATATAAGTCCCTACTAAACTATTTCAAAAGATATATCCACTATATATTAAAAATTTCAAACTGAAAATATAAGCTTTAATACTATCATTTGAAGTGTATCTTTGTAGTTTTAGAGTTTGGATGTTATGTTTGATAATACATTATGAGTTTCTTTACTTCTTGTTGTCATAGGAGGGAGATATTGCCAACTATCAGATAGTTTATGGTTATAAGAGTAAACTCATTCACACAAATTTGATGTTTTAAGATTATAATAAAATATGTTAGTTTATAATTTGAAAATTAGTTGACCTCAATCCAAGCCATTTTATGATACTATTTTCATTCTTTTAGAGAGAGTTTAAACTTCTAACTTAATATAAGACAGGCTGAAATTTGACATATATGAGACAAAAGAAATATTTTCTCTGAAACTATAGTCATAACATAGTAGTGATTTAAAGTATGTAACTTAAGACAGCATGATTTCAATTGGCTAAAATATAATCCAAGATCTTTAATTTTTAAGTCAATTTGGACAAATCCTTTACTAGCATTACTTTTGCAGGAACACAATATTGCACACACCATGGGACTTCATTCCCCACTCCCTTGGTTCCTATATCTCTTCCTTTTTTGTCTCTCTCTTTCTCCCTCACTCCAGTCATCTTACCTCAGCCAGAATGCCTATCAGCAAGAAGAGAGACTGCAACGGATGCTGGAAAGGATATACAGAGAGACCTTTATTCACTCCTGCTAGAAGAGCGCACTAGGACAGTCATCACAGAAATCAATAAGGAGGATTTAAAAACATAGAATATGGAATTCTACATAATCCGTTTGTAACCACTCTTGGACAAATACTACAATGTCTCTCTATTCTACCACAGATAGTTTGCATCTGCATGTTTGTTATTGTTTGGATTACAGTAATAAGGAAAGGAGGAAGAAGCTATGAGGCTGTTGGGAAGAAAGAATATGAGGGAGGTCAGAGAAGAACAAACAGAAAAATCAACCAAAACCAATTTTGTTTGAAATATGCTATGGTGAAACATAATGCTGGGTATCCTAGTGAAAAATTAAATAATAAAGAATAATATTCTATTTGAATAAAAGTTTCTAATGTAGAACTAGTATCCTATAGTAGGTTCTTTGGTTCTGTCCATTAAATGTGTCTTTGGCATACATTATTGCTCCTCTCCTAAGTATAAATAAATATGTTGAATACAGCTTGAGGGAATATTATATTTAAAAGAAAATTCAATATTCAGGATATATTTTTAAAAATTTTATAGTAGATTGCAATTGAAATGTATGTAAAGAACATATGTAGTATTCTGGTGACAAACAAATAGCTTCATGTACTATAACCTCATAAAATTAGAGACTAATTATGTCACCCAATGAAGATCATTCTTCCAGCTCTCTCTGTCTCAGAAATTGTTATTTGCTGGCTTTCTTAATATTTATTATTTCCTAGTTATTTTAATTTCCAGTAAAATTTATTTATTTACTATTCCATGTTATCCTAATTTATGTTTTTAAATTTTTCATTGACTTCTTTTTAATAATATGCAGTTAGATACCTTTCTTACTTTATATGTTTAGGTTTCTTTTAATTACACTGCTTTATAAAATATGCTCATTATTTAAAAATTATGTTGAGCACATATTTAGGAAATCTATGTTACAGTCTTTGTAGAAGGACAATGTAGTCAAACAGAAATCGACTGGACATCTACTTGCGGGAACTCTGAGTTTTTCTCCTCAGGATTGGCTGCTATTTCTTAGTCCTGAATTAGTGTCTCAGCTGCTGAACTTGGGAGGAGGATCTTGGCCTTTCCACAGATGCTTTCCGAGGTCTCCTCTTCCCCGGCGGTCTTCTCCTTCACCAGGCATTATTGCAGCATTTACTACTGAGACTTTTTAAAGACAGTAGAAGACTACTGTCTTCTCTATTCACGTTTCCCCCTACTTCTCCATTTAAAATTATCGTAAACTTGCTCACTGTGTCTTTCATGTCTTTTGCTTTTTTCACTCTTGTTTACTGCTTGTTTTAATGTTTTCTTTTGCCTTATTTAAAATATTGTGGAACTAGAAAATTTATTTTTTAGAAGTGGAGCTTCATTAGCTGACAGTTCTGGGAAATGGAAAACCCAAGTCGACACAGGCTTGTGTTGTGGGGCCCTTGCACTAGCATACCATGATGAAAATCATGCTAAGGGTGACTTCTGATGCTAGAGCTGTCAGGAGACTCCACATTCGGGTCCTCATTCCTTCCTCTGCCCATGTCAATATAGCACTAATGGCTGAATGCGGACTGATTTTTTTGATGACTGGTTTTCGTGGTTGCATGTCTGAATCACAGCACTCTCTGATCCAACCATTAATTTTTCATACCTGTCCTCCTTTTTGCTCATTTGCTATTCAGTACTGTTTAATATACCACTTAACACTTCTTTCATTTTCTAAATTTTTTTCTAAAAGTTCTGTTTTTTTTCTTTTTTAAACATTTGAAATTTAGTAGTCTGTTACAATAT